CTGATATAGGTGTAATACGAGACCAGAGAGCTCCCCATTCTTCCAAGATCTCTTTCTCTGCATTTCATCCACTCTCATCTGTTTTGAGCCAGTAACAGAAATGATATACAATACCCCAAGCAAAGCCTCACTTTTATCTTATATGAGATCACTAGTGTATCTCAAGCAATGCCAATCCAAATCTAGTCAGAATACTGATGTTAATGGTGTTGGGAACCTTGAAAAATGAAAGTAGTCTCAAAGAACTCAGATTTGGAAAAAGTAGAGCCCATGTTTCAAAAGGCTCACCAGTTGCATGTCTGATAGTTTTGTTCATATTTATCTCAAAGCTGGTATTTTCAGTCTTTCTATCTGTACTGGCTATCATGTTTTGGATAGCTTAATTAAGTAAACACTCCCAAATTATTTTGTAATTCCTTTTAAACTCCTACTCACAATGCTTTTGACAGAAAAGTTGGCCTCCATTAGAATTGGCTAAAGAATGAAAATCCTCTAAGCTCTTCAACAAAACATTTGCCTTAAAGAGAAAAATCTGTCTTGCTGACCCAGCAGGCAATTGCATCAGGCTGAACATGTCATAGAGACAGGACACTACCAAATCTCTGATTGCAAGATGGTGAAGATACAGTGTCAGAACAGTTGCAAAGCACAGCTAGCACTTAAAAAGAACAAGAGAAGAATGCTCCTACTAGCAGATGACCTCTCTGAACCCCTATCTGCTGACCAGGGCTTAGAAAGAAAAAGGGAGGAATCCTCTTACCTTCTTCTCAACGTGAGCCAGCAATGTACACTTGCAGCCCAGAAGGCCAATCGTATCCTTGGCCGCATAAAAAGAAGTGTGGCCAGCAGGTCAAGGGAGGTGATTCTCCCCCTCTACTCTGCTCTGGTGAGACTCCACACCTGCAGTGCTGTGTTCAGATCTGGGCCCCCAGCACAAGAAAGACATGGACCTGCTCGAGTGGGACCAGAGGAGGGTTGTGAAGATGACCAGGGGGCTGGAGCACCTTCCGTAGGTGGACAGGCTGAGAGAGTTGGGGGTGTTCAGCCTGGAGAAGAGAAGGCTCCAGGGAGACCTTAGAGTGGCCTTCCAGTACTTCAAGGAAGCCTACAGGAAAGGTGAGGAGGGACTCTTGATTAGGGGGTGTAGTGATAGGACAAGGGGTAATGGTTTCATAAGGAAAGAGGGGAGAATTAGATTAGATATTAGGAAGAAATTCTTCACTACAAGGGTGATGAGACACTGGAACAGGTTGCCCAGAGAACCTGCGGCTGCCCCCTCCCTGGCAGTGTTCAAGTGTTGAGCAACCTGGTCTAGCGGAAGGTGTCCCTCGCCATGGCGGGGGGGTTGGAACTAGACAGTCTTCAAGGCCCGTTCCAACCCAAACCATTCTGTGATCCTTAAGGCAGGCCTCTGCATGAACCAGGTGAATGATTTAATTACTGAATTATTTTAAAAATCTGCAGTTACATACATACATATATATATGTGTGTATTTATTTACAAAAATATGGCTGGCAAAGAAAGCTAGAAAAGCTGGATTATAACTAAAATTATACAGAATATGCCTGGAGATATTTTTATTCTTCTGTGGTCTTTCTGGGGGGTTTGCTGACTATTTTTTTTTTTTAATTTTTATTTTGTTGGGGTTTTGGTTTTGTTTTGGTTTTGGTTTTTCTTCTTCTTTTTAACTGTGACAGCATAAGCAGAGCTGGATTTTCCTTAGGAATACTGCCAGAAGATTACAAGCTTTTTTTGATGAATTATAAAATCTATTCAATTTGTGTGCACAATGAACAAACCTAGTAAGTAAGGATTTTGTTATTTCAATGAATGGTTACTAAAAGTATTAGGAAATCTTAAACATAATCAATAGGTAGGTGCAGCAGAAATTTATACTTTTCTTTGCAGATTTACATAAGAATAAACCCCAATTTTTTCACTGACAATCTTATAAGGCACATGTTCATAATAAGTATTTTCCAACAACATTGAACAAGGGTGCACAAAATAATGTGATTACTGTTCCTTCTAAATCTAACATGCAGGTGGATCTGCCCCATATATGCAAAGAAGTCCATGTGAGTATATAGACACATACATGCATGCACAGGCTCTCACACACACACACACACACACGCTCCTTTTTCAATTGAAAAGAAAATCGACTTTCAGAAGTAACAGCTACCTAGTACCAGTCGCATTCACACCGCTCCTATTTTTATATAAAATTAAATCTATGCAGTCTGCTAAAAGCAAGAATTATCTACAAAAAGTCGAATTCAGCCCTTATTGACCGTTTCTTCAAATGAAAAGAAGATGGAAGTTAGTTTTACTGGTTTTGAAGACAGTAGTAAACTAGAATTTCAGATCTACATGTTCCACAAAAATACCAAACCTCTGACTTTCATAAATATCTGACTTTCATAAATATCTGACCTTTTGTTTTATCTCTGATCTTCTACTTTGAGTTTTCAGAAACAAGTAACTATATCTGTCATGGGTACCTGACTTACAATCATGCAAGTCATAGGAAAAACAAATTTAAACTGACCAATTCAGGAAAAACTATGGAGGCCACACATACATTTCTGCATTTTTTATACTTCCTTTGAAATACATGCCCTGTGTCAACAGCACACCTTCGGTTACTAAAGATCTGTAGCAGAAGTTCATACCTGGCACCACTTTTTGGAGGCCCATAGACACCCATACCAGTTTTAAAACGTCAGAATTTGGTTATTAGAACCGATTTTCACAAAATTTTAAGGATCTAGTTTATACCATATTGTCAAAACAGATTTTTTTTTGTTGTTTTTAATTCTCAATAGTGGAGACAATATAAAGTTACCTAGGCACAACACATGAAAATGAATTAGACCTTTTCAGATTTTTCCTCCCCTGTTGTACACTACAGGACGGAAAGCGGGTCTCTGATGTAGGGCACGAGTATTTAGTCTCGAACAATGGCTTTTCTTTAGAAAACCAATCAAGTCTCATGTAAATATAGTTCTAAAAACTGCATTAAATTCAACCCACTTATTTCCGACATAATTTAACAAAAAAAAATAGTGACTGGCAAAACACGCCACATTTTATTTGCTCTGCTTATAACACAGGTAGTACCATTTGCCTAAGCCACAGTAAGGCAAAGTAAATATAATTCTTAACTCTGTTTTACAATCATGAATAATATAGAATTGTACTTTCCATATTAGATGTGCTGTTCAAGTTTCATTATAACTATAGGTGGCCCATTCCTTGCAAAACTCCTATTTTTTTGAAATTTACACCAAGCAAAATTTGGAGAGCTATAGTATCTTTCTATGAAGAATGGGATCATCTGAGCTTTAAATAATGCTGAGAAGTGTTTGGAAGTCACAGGTTAGATTTTAAGATGTTCAGTAATTTCACTGAGAAGAGTAAGATAGGGCTCATGCAAGGCAAATCTTCCTATATTTGGAACTAGATGATCTTTAAGGTCCCTTCCAGTCTCCTGGTGCCTTCCTCTTAGGCATGCAGCCCTAGTTTCTGGTCAGAGCTAGACTACTAAGTAAGACAGAGCAAAGATTTGCTCTGTCGCAGCAATTGCTATCTCAATGAGATATAGGAGCTAGAAAGGAACACCAGATCAAACCACAAAAACATTCTGTTAAATACTTAAAATATTATGTTCTTTGTAGTAAGTGGAGTAAAATACCAACCTAAAATCCTTTCTATAATACAGTACCATTTTTTATTACTTCATTACTAGCATATAATTGATTCTGATGCATCTAAAATAACATCTTACTGTATACAACTATCTATATTGTAGTCCAACATTCAGGCAGAGTGCATTTTTGAGCAACACAATACTAATTACAATTCTGAGTTTCAAATATGCCCGTTATATCTACCATTTGGTCCAACTGCATGATTATATGCTTTCTGGCTTAAAACTCATAAATGAGTAGTGTAGAAAAGCATTCCAATCTTTTTACTAAAGCTGACCAAGCTTTAAATTTTTAAAGAATTGCTTCTACTGCTCACCTGGTGGTAAAAGAAAACCAAGGGAAAAGGGAGAGATATTTGATGATATAAATAAACAATATTGTTACTTACCTTAGTTTAGATTACCCTGACTATGTGAGAGGAATGCTGCAATATGTGTGCAGTCTATGCTAGGCTGAAGCTTCTCTTCTTTTTTTTTCTTCTTTTAGTAAGAAAGAACCCTTAGGGTCAGGTCGTGCTCCCACTGAAGACAAGAGCAAAAGTCTTCACTGGGGTTCAATAGCAGCAGGACAGGGACTTCAAAACATTTTTTTTTTCCTTTTATATCTTTCTGTATGAGCTTTTGTTCCTTCAGGCTATGCAGATACAAAGCTTTTAAGATTTCTGAAGTCACGGTAAGGAGTTGGAAGTCTTATGTTCCTAATGAAGCATCATGCTGTCATCTAATTTATCTGAAATCACTGACCCCAATTTGCTAGTGTTGTTTTTAAAGAAAAAATAACAGATTTAGTCTTGGCTAAGAAATCAAAGGTAGTTTTTAAAATTATATTCTTGCTACTACAGGTACAACCTTTTATCAGTTACAAAACTACCATTCATTTGCTCAGATTTCAATTCCCCCATTCATACTCATGTCTTCTGCCAGAAGAAATTTCCTATACATAAAAAGATGCTCTTAGACAAACTATTATCCACTGTTGATACCCACGTGTGTCTCCTTGCATTTCCTTGCCTACCTGTAAACAAGGCTTCTAAGAAATAAAAATATTTTTCATCGATCAGGACAAAGTTGTTATGGTACATATTCTAAAATGCATTTGTATATTGTTTCTTGCAGATGCCTAATGATCAAAGAAAATTAATATCTCAGAAATTTATTCACAGCTGGAAAATCTTCTCTCCTGAGTGATCTATATCCATATACATGTAACACAGATGCAACAGGTAAAATAATGGCAAACCACATTTGGTGAGAGTCCTGTTTCCGAAGAGCGTGTGTCTCACTCACCTGTTTGGCTAAGTTGAGATGTGCTTCTGCTCCTTCGAGACACTATGGCCACCACTTTGGCACTAAGGCTGGAACGCCTTTTCTTCCCACCTGTTCCAACCGTGCCGACAGCCGTGTCCGACTGACTCCCGTCATTGTGCTCCAGCTTATACATCTCTCCGCTCACACTTGTGCTCTTAGTGATTCTCCCTGAAGTCCCCATCCGTCTGCCTTGCATTTTAGGAGTAAATGTACTACAGTTACAAAGTAAAAACAAACACGTTAATTTGTCTGTGTAATGGCATTTCCAAAAGCCTTTTTTTAATTTATTAGTAAATTAATTTTAAGTCCTGATACATTTTCATTTATTTGGCTCACAAATAAAAAGGTTGACTTGATGCTCTCCAGACGATACATTTCCAGTATTTTAATTCATTCTTCACTTCTTCAAGGGAAATAAATAAAGTGAACACTTTCCCATGTTTTTCAGAGTGACAGAGAAAGAGACATGCAACATTTAAAAGTCATGTGGAGCTTTCCTGTCTATATCCCCAGAATACAGAAAGCAATAAACCAGCAATTTTACGACCAAAGAAAATGAATATGGGCCAAGAGAATATATGTAGGTTAATACAGGTATCTTATCGGCACTGTTCACCAAAGCATTAAGGCCTAACAGATACGAAGATATCATTTTCTATATTTTAATACTTCACACAAAGAGGTAGTAAAATATGTAGTATTTTTTTAGGTCTACATTCTCTCACTTCTTTAAAGCTAAATGCAATAATCACAGTATGAAGGCAAAATAATTTTGAGGGAAAAAAGCCTAGTAATCTGCTAGAACTTTCACTGACAGAGAGATGAATCGCTGTCAGTTCTGTTTGATTTTCTTTAGCTATCACATTGCATTTGAATGTTTCCATACATATCCTTTTTATGCTTCTGTACATGGAGGCTGGATAAAGTATTCAGAAACACACTCTAGAGAACAATCTCAAATACACACAGGACACACTAATACACAGTCCTAACACTGCTACAACCAAGTGACGCCCTAGCTCTAATGGCAATACGAAGTTAGCTACCACTCTGCTGAGACCCAGAAACTTAAGCTGCAGCCTGAATCACTTCAGATGTAGTTGTTAAAGCAGCCTAGTACATGGGAAATTCCTTCATCTTGTTTTGCTGATTAGTAGACCTACTGGCCACATCCTAATTTTAGGGATTTTTTTTCAGTAATTCTGTATTTTGAAGCCAAATTTTTACTTTATTTGTTGAGCAACAGTCCTGCTGTCCCCCCCAGCAGGTTTCCTTCCCAGCAGATCTGATAGCCTGCTCCTGTCCTCCCCATCTCCCTTCGCCCCAAAATAAGAAAGAGAGAGGTTAGAGCCACAGGCTTCTTTATGTCATGGCAAGTTTCAGACAGATAGGAAATCTTGCCAGGGAGAAATGAAGGGGTCTATGGGAGAAGAAATGACATCCTGTAACTTCTATGGATGCGTCCCTGCTAAAGCTTACATCAGTCCTGTCCAAAGACTTTGCTGACATACTAATCTATAAAGGTATCATTTAAAGCATTAAAATTTAATAGACTATAAAATCTGCCATGTAATTAAAGAAATAATTATTTATCATACTATTGACTTTGCTCTAGTGAATTTCAAGTGTTTATGAATAAAATAAATACTAATCTTATGAGGTTTTTATGCAGTCTTCACTTTTTTGTACAATAGATTTGAAATGCTCTAATCTCACATTATTTAATAAGAGTTTAGGAGACAATGATGTCCATCAGCTGAGAATTAAGAATTGACAGTATCATAACTTTAGGAAAATCCCATTTTTGGTGTCTTAATTCCCTAATTCAAGGACTATGACAACTTTCTGAATAATAGATAAATCACTTTTTCAAAGACCTGCAGAAATTTCAATTTTCATTCTTTGCAACAGGTAGAGGATCTAGACGATTCGCCCTAAAAAAATTGAGATATTTGGAATTCAGATTAATCTTGTACTTGTTTTTACCTTGCAAATATCAAGGCCTAATTTCCTAGGAAATATGTTCCAGTGTACTTCTAGAACAAAATATCTATTAGTTTGCTAGAAACAGGCTTAATGGTACAGGACCAAGGATCAAATCCTACAGTTTGTCCAATCTTTCCCCTTGTTATAACTAAGCAAACAGATTAAGATTTCTCTGCTATCATCTAATCCCTGGGCTAGCTTATTATTTGACATTAATTGGAACAGCATCAAAAGAACAGGCATTTAAAATGCAGTTGTCTTATATTGTCTAATTGAGTACCCTTAGAACACAATATTTTTCCATTCCATTACTGGCTCTCACTTGGAGCTTACGTTGTTACTTTCTTCAACATGGTTAGAGTTTAATCTATGAAGCACAATGAAGCAAAAGACCTGCATGAATTTACATATACTCTTTTGCACTTAACCCTTCTCATAATAACAAAACAAAAATTTTATTTTCCTTTACTGGACTTGCTGGGATTATTGACACATTCATTTAAATGCAGATGCAAGTTTTTTGCAGGCCTGTGGCTAGAATTGGTAAATTATTAAGTTATATTGTTGATGCAAGCCTAGTTATCATGACACAATAAATAGTTTTCAGTACAGGATAACTAAGAGTAACATATTTATTAGTACACTCCATTTATTTCTAATGGATAATTGACTACATTTTTATTTAAAATATTTTACCATCTTTAGCAATTCTTTCAATGACTAGTTCTGCAAAAATCTTATGCTATTTCTAATTATTAGCATAACAACATCATCAATATGTGTATTAAGAATAGTTACAATCTATCTGTGCCTTTTTTACTTCATAGATATTTAGCATGGAAAAAGAGTAATTTGATTTTTAATTAATTTATTTTTTTTTTAATTGAAGTAAACCACTAAAGCAAAACCCCCTTTGACTTCAGCAAAAGCAGAGCCGCCCCGCGGTGCGGGCGGCCCAGAGCTGTCCTTTAGCATCAGGGTCACCCACTGCCCCCCAGCTCCCACGTCTGCTGGGAAGACACTGCTCCCTTCACCAAGGGAAAAACACTTACATTTTCCTGCCAAAACCTATGCAGTTCAGAGAGACACTATCTAAAGCGGTATCTGTACTAAACGCAGCAAAATCAGGACTGTATTTACATGTCAGGCATCAGAGCTGTGAAAGAAAGCAGCACTTTCAGTTTTGCAAGCTGTTGCTACCTGAGAGTTGTATTTGTATCTGTGGGAATGAAGAACATACTATTAAGATAAAAAACTTATTCAAAGATTAGTTTGAGTTACAAGCTGCCATAACAATTAACCCTGAGGTAAATTCTATAAAATGAACACACTACAAGGACATTGTAGATTATACTTGCTTATATTAAACTGTAGCATACACAACTATATAGAACTAAAACAAAGCCAATTACATGTATTACTATCGTTGTATCTCTTTCTACATACAGATATACATATATTCAAGATGCATAAAATTATTCTGGACAAATTATTTGGCTTGAGAAAATTAGTATGTAGATATACACTCAGTATTTCTCAGTTACTACATAAAATACCTGCCAATAGTACATATCACCCGAAAAAGAAAGATAGTAAGACGCAGGAAGCTAGAGCAAATGTTGCCCATAAACTCACCTATATAATATCTGGAAGTATATCCTTTTAGGGAAATATTCTTAACTGATTAGCCATTGCTAAAATCACAGCATTTCCTTCATTCACTTAGACTTACTGATGATTTATAAAAAAATACTTTAGGTATTTATTTTCATGATCACTCGTGTTTACTCCATCCATTTTTCCAGTAATGCAAGCCATGAGTAAATAAATAATCCCTTGTATTCCTTGTTATATAGTTGACATTTTATTTTAATATTTTTCCACACAGTTGCAGTAACTTGAATCTTTCGACAGAATCCCTGGCCTTCACCAGCATGAGCTAGTAAGCTTCCTTTCACTTCTGCTGAATGCAGAATCACGTACTAATTCATAGCCCCTATGACACCCTTTTTCAATGAGGTAGCTCATGAATACTAATAACCTCCTAAACATGTAATAGTTGTGCACCAAAGGGAAGATGAGCACTCCTTTATAATGGGGTACATTACATTTCCAAAAATAAACTAAATCTCGTTATTAGTATTATATGATATATAATTAATAAATCCAAACTCTAAATCAACTATCCACAAATTGCTCTGTCAGTCTTAGAATATATAGCTATATTTGCATATGATATATAACATTTGCTGCAAGATTAATTACTGTACAATTTATGGTATTTCATAAATTAATTCAAACATGGTGCTTTACAAACCAAAGGACAAACACATATCCTATATTAAAATTCTCTCTAGTTAGCCAAGAGACTTTTTTAGACTATAAAGAAGTTAGTTGATTCAATGAAATAATAATCTTGTACAGTCTGTACCAACTAGAACTGCATATTGAGCTAACATGCTCATCGATCATATATTAAAATCCATGAAATAGCTATTAGAAACAGAAAAAACCTTGCTTCTGCTGTGAAAGCATCATATTAGAGTCCTATTGGTGTATTTAGATAGTTGAAATTCAGTAACTTTTGTATCTGATAATATTCCTATGTTGTAAAAAAGTGCTCCTCAGTGATACAGATACTGCCTCTGGAATGACCCAGTCCCATGTGTAAACTCTCACTGAGGTAAGGGTTGGGGAAGACTTCATTACAGAATTCTCCTCTGGGAGCTTAACTGTTTAACATCGTCCTTTGGAAGATCAGGAAATTTCCATGTTGGAATATAGATCAGAATCTGCTTTGTGAAAATGCCTTTCTCAGTAACCACCTGACCAGTGAATTGTACATTTCACAGCTCTGACAGATTTCTAGTTTTTAAACTTGTAAAACCAGGATTTCTCCATGAAATAAAAGAATAATAATTCAGAAGGTAAGCCTGAACATTACAAAATATAAGCAGATTTTAACTATTTTCCAAGAACATTTCATCAAGTTAATTTATATTCTCTGAAAGAAACAGACCAATTGTCTCTGTATGCAGGAGCTTGTGTGTCTGCCTGTGCATACCCATGGCACTGTCAGCCTGAAGCCAACTAATCACGTGAATCATAAAATGAAACCAACACAAAAGCAGTTAGTTACTGCCAGGGTGCTGCTCAGGGTTAAGTATTGCTATTAATGCTGATGTGGACAGCCTAATGGGAACCAAAGCGCAAACGGCTCAAATGA